GAGCCCACGAAAATGGCGACGGTTGCGCGGTTCGCAGCCGCCCAGGAAGAAGCGAGCTCTCGGCTGGGTGCGCGTACACAACTCAACTCCGCTCCGCTGGACCTCCCAGGGGCCCACGAAAAAGGCGGCATTTGCACAATGCGCCGCCGCCCAGGGAGCCGCAGGTCTCGTCTGGGTGCGCGTACATCTCGACTCCGCTGGACCTCCCAGGGGACCGAGAAAATGGCAACAGTTGCGCAATTTGAAACCAAAATGGGAGCAACGTCGTCCCGTGTGGGTGCGCGTACAACTCCACTGCGCAGAACCTCCCAGGGGCCGAGAATGGCGACGGTTGCGCACTGCGCAGCCCCCCCGGGAGCCACGATGTCCGGTTATGGGTGCGCGTGCAACTCCACTCCGCTGGACCTCCCGCGAGCCAGCGAAAGTGGCGACAGTTGCACCGCGCGCAGCTCCCCAGGGAGCCGCGAGGTCTCGGCTGGATGTGCGCCTCCCAGGGGGCCACGAAGGTGGCGACTGTTGCGCAGTTCGCAGCCTCCCAGGCAGTTGCGAGGTCTCGGCTGGATGTGCGTACTCCCCACTTCGCTGGGCCTTCCAAGAGCCAGCGAAAGAGGCGACCGTTCCGCAGTTCGCAGCCCCCCAGTGAGGCGCGAAATCTCGGCTGTATGTCCACTCCGCTGGGCCTCCCAGGCGCCCGCGAAATTGGCGATAACTGCAGACTGCACATTTCGCGGGCCCCCCGGGAGCCGCGAAATCACGGCTGGATGTGCGTCCGCAATTTGCAGCCACCCAGGGAGCAACGAGATCCCGTCTGGGTGCGCGTGCAACTCCACTGTGGACCTCCCAGGCGCCCACGAAAATGACGACGGTTGCGCAGTTCGCAGCCACCCCGGGAGCCACGATGTCCCGTATGGGTGCGCGTGCTGCTCCACTCCGCTGGTCCTCCCAAGAGCCAGCGAAAATAGCGACAGTTGCACCGCACGCAGCCCCCAGGGAGCCGCGAAGTCTCTGCTTGATGCGCGTAATCACCCATTCCGCGATGCCTCCCAGGGACCCACGAAGGTGGCAACAGCTGTGCAGTTCGCAGCCCCCCAGGGAGTTGCGAGGTCTCGGCTTGATGTGCGTGCTCCCTCACTCCGCTGGGTCTTCCATAAGCCCACGAAAGTAGCGACAGTTTCGTAGTTCGCAACCGCCCCTAGGGAATCGCGAAGTCTCCGCTGGATGTGCGTACTCCCCCACTCCGCTCGGCCTCCCAGGGGCCTACGAAAGTGGCAAGAGGTGCGCGGCTCGCAGCCCCCAAGAGGACGCACAAGATGCAGGAGGTAGGCGGAGGAGGGGGAGGAGAGGAGTGGAGACCACAGTGATCTAGTGAAAACGAGAACCCAACACAGGAGGGTTGGGGGAACAACCAAAAACAGAGGTTGCGGCAGAAGGCGGCGCAAGGGCGCAGGGCGGCGTGCCCTGCGGTTCCCGCCCCTTCCACACCTTGAAAGCAGAAAACAGATGTTACCACCTCGGAATGGTGTACCCGCTCTGGTGTCGAACACATTCACACTTGAGAAGGGTGCTCACGCCTTAGCGCCAGTCACCGTCCTGAGGTGAAATTGGTGCCAGTTGCAGCAAGAACAATCGTTGCAGATGCGTTTTCTGCTGTCCAGGGTGGAGGCATGAGGAGAGCGGCCGATGCACCCCACCACTGTGGCCGGCACACAAGTCACGTACACCATAATTGTGAAGCAACGGCAGCAGCAATTGTGGCAGCAGTAAGAGCTGCAGCGACACCAGCAGAAGTATCAGCCGCTGTAAAGCAGCAGTGGGAGCAACAGCATCATTAGACGCAGCCGTCGCAATAGCAGCAGGAGTGGCACCAGCGGCAACAGCGAGGGTAGCAGCAACAATGCCAGGAAGAGCGGCAGCAGAAGCACTGGCTGCAGCAGCAGTGGCACCAATAGCAGATAGCAGCGTCGGCACCCACAGCAGCAGCAGCAGCAGCAGCAGCAGCAGCAGCAGCAGCAGCAGCAGCAGCAGTAGCGATAGCGGCGTCAGCAGCGGCTGCCGAAGCGGTAGCGGCAGCAACTTCAGAGAAAAGTGCCCTGTCAGTGGTTTCAATGGGAGGGGGCCGGGGCGCGCGCTCGAGGATGGCAAAAGCTGGAGGCACGTGGGCCGGGACGGACCCGATCCCTGGCAACAACAACGCGAGGACAGGCGGCGGCGATCCCGCGCGTAGTCCCCTGAAGGCGGGGGTCGTGGAAGTGGGAGGGGGACGACCCTGGAAAAAGAAACAAAAAAACAAAAAAACAAAAAAAACAAAAAATGCATGGGCAAACGAGCGTGAGGATGCGTGACGGCGCTCCCGTGCGGCCTCCCTGGGGTGGAATCGTGGAGTGGGAGTGGCACGACACCTCCGGGAGAGAGTGTGAGCACAGCTGGCGATGCTCCCGAGGATCGAGATTCGAGGATCGAGGCTTCTGGACGTCTTGGGCACTTCTCGAGCCTCCAGAGGCCTCCGTCGTCGTCGTCGCCTCTGCCGTCGCCGTCAACATCGCCGTCGTCGTCGTCGTCGTCGCCGTCGCCTCCTGTGGGGCTCGTGGAGCGGGAGGGGCCCGATCCTTCAAGGGAAAACGCTGGGTGTGAGGATGGGTGGCGACGTTCCCGAGGGGCCTCCCTGGAGGCGGGGGCTCGCGGAGCGGGGAGGCACGGCCCCTGACAGACAAGCAGGGCGCGAGGACACGTGGCGCGCTCCACAAAGGCCCTTGCCGTCGAGGATCGCAGGAATTTGGCATCTCTTCGGCGGAAGGCGGCGGAAGGTCGGCGGAAGCTGGCGGAAGTAAAACGAGGCCGCCTCCGCCGGCGGAAGCCGGCGGAAGTAGAGATCGGACTCCCAAGAGATAGCACGATTTGTTGGTTCAGGGTGTCCGAACCCGCGCTGGTGGCACTACCGCGCCGCCTCCCTGGACGTGGGGCTCGCGGGGTGGGTGCCATTGGGAGGACAGGGTGGACTTCACGGAGACATGGGCAGGACTCGCGCAGTGCGATTGGAGGAGGACAGGGGAAGGAGGAGAAGAAGAATGAATGTGGCCTGAAGAACCAAGCAAGAACCTCATTCAGAATGCGGGGGAAAACAGAAGCTGCAACAGTACAACGAGAAAGAGCAACGAATCCTGTAGCGCTGGCACTGCTCATAAACAGAAGCGTCCAGAAGCAAACAACAACAACAGCAACAACAACAACAATAATAACAACAACAACAACAACCACAATAACAACAGCACCAACAATAACAACCAACCAACCAACCAACCAACCAACCAACCAACCAACAAATCCGCCGGCCCCCTTGTAGGGCCACCAGGCTGTAGGCCTCAGGTTCGCAGTTTCCTGTGCCAGCTGCAGCTTCCAGTTTCCACTGTTACAATTCTGCTTATTGTTGCTTACTGCTCCGTGTTGACAGTTCTGCTTCTTGCTGCTTACTGTTCCTTGTTGATGGACCGCGCGAGGGGGGGAGGCCCAAAACGGTCATTTTTACCGCGCCCTGAGCGTGTTGTCTGAATTGCTGGGGTGGGTAAAAATTGACACCCCTCACGCAGATCGGCGGGGTCAGGGTCCAAAAACACAAAGAATTTGCCACATTTCTGAAATTCGGTGGCAGCCCTCACGCAGATCGGCGGGGTCAGGGTGCAAAAACAAAAAGGATTTGCTACATTTCTAACATTCGGTGGCACCCCTCAAAAAGGATTTGCCACATTTCTGAAATCCAGTGGCACCCCTCACACAGATCGGCGGGGTCAGGGTCCAAAAACACAAAGAATTTGCCACATTTCTGAAATTCGGTGGCACCCCTCACGCAGATCGGCAGGGTCAGGGTCCAAAAACACAGAGGATTTGCCACATCTCTAAAATTCGGCGGCACCCCTCACGCAGATCGGGTCCAAAAATAGATAGGACTTGCCACATTTATCAAATTCGGCGGCTCCCCTCATGCAGATCCGCAGGGTCAGGGTCCAAAAACACAAGGGATTTGCCACATTTCTAAAATTCGGTGGCACCCGTGACGCAGATCCATAGGATCAGGGTCGAAAAACAAACAGGTCCCGACACTGCTTCACGGCGGCGCCCAAGACCTCATGATTTAGCTTTTGCATCTCCCATTATCCGAGACACGGGGCCGGCGGCATGGGGCGAAGCCCTTACGGATAAACAAACAAACAAACAAACAAACAAACAAACAAACAAACAAACAAACAAAAGCAGCAGCAACAACAACAAAACAGTAGCGTACCAGTGTAGCGTATAGTAGTAGTCGTGACCGGAATGGGTGAAGAAGTGGAAGTGGTAAGATGAGCAGGAGGAGTGGTGATGGAAGAATTTCCGCAACCCCGTATCATTCATGAGGAGGAGCACTTGCCGCTAAACTGACGTATCAGCAAGAGCTACTGCTGAGTGCTCCACTCCAGAAGGGTTTCTCGTTGGGTGGCCGTCGTCTTGTCGTGGATTGCACGCCTGGGGCGGATCTGTCGCGAGAGGCCCAAAGCCCTGCCCAAAACTCGGTGCTCCTCGGGGCCCTGCAGTGCTCTCCACGAGCCCCCGCCGGGCAGACCTGCCGCCGAGGGAAGCCTGCAAACCCCCGGGAGCCCAGACCTCGCCACGTGGCCGAGGCAGGCGCCTTCGGCACCGAGTCCGGGCCGAGACACCCCCCCCCTACACACACCATTCCCTGGCAGGAATGGGACGCGGCGCACATCCCGCGCGGACGTCAATGCGGTGTCCTGGGGTATCCTCCACTCGCACTGGAATGCCCGCGCAGCCCCCAGTTGTGCCATCACTGTTTCTTATGCTGTGGGAGGGCGGGTGGGAATGGGCATGCCATGCTTGACTCGCTCGAGCTGGCTAGCTTGACACACACCATTCCCCCGCCCCCCCCGCCTCGCTCGCGCAAGAGGGTACTCCGCAGGCCAGGGCGCGGGGGGGGGGCCGAGGCGGAGAGAGAGCACTCGGCACCCCGCCTGGGGCTTCTCGCCGTCGTTCGGGAGCGAGATCGGCAGCCTCCCCCCGGGGCTCGAGGCGCCGGTCAGCAGGTCGGCCGCCGCGGGGCCCACCTGCTCCCCGGGCATGAAGAGGAAGAGGGCGGCGTCCGTGTCCTTGATCCACTCGGTCGTCACCTGTGGTGGCAACTCAAGGGGGAGCCTCCCCATACCGTCTTGTCGGCGCTTGCGAAGGGACGCTCGTCGACGCTAAATCGACGCTGATCGACGCCCAATCGACACTCATCGACGCTAAATCGACGCTATCTCATCGACTCCCAGGCGCGAATCGAGGCTAACTCCCATGACTTGCTGCCGAACGTAGCCTCTCCGGGCACGATGGCGAGCATCACCACCTTCTTGTCGCCGCCCTGGTCCCTGAGGGCCTTCACGAGGCCAGCGGCCTCTGGCAGCGTAAAGTTGGGGCGATCCCAGCCCTCGTGGGCATCGCAGTCCGAGGCGCAGATGATGGCGATGTCGGCTCCCTCGCCAGCGGACGCGTCCTCCGAGTGATTGGCCAAGAAAGGACCCATAACCCTTTAGAAGGGGACCTAAGTCAGAAGGAGGGCGAGGAACATGATGGATAGGGAATCGTTCTTTTCTTCTGTAGGTGTAACTCGAACCAAACCGCCCAGAATAATTATCCCTAATGCGAAGACGGGGACCTCAGTGAGGCTACGCCTTCATCATGTTATTAGGGTTAAGGGTTCTTTTATCCTCCATGACAGAGGGCACACCCAACTCTAAGAACTGAACTGGCGCCACGCCCCCTGAGTGGCATCGTGCGCTCGCACAGATGGCTCCTGTGCAAGCACCGTGTGCTTCCACCTTATGGCGGGCCCCAGAAACGGCAGGGTCGATTTCTCGCCGTTTCCGAAGAAATGCCCCTTGAAAACGGAAGCGGGAAGAAAACTGCAACCGGAAAAAGGCAGCAAAAACAGCTCTGGAATTGGAACCGGAACCGGAACCGGCGAAACAAACGGCAATGGAACCGGAAAAGAAACGGCGCTGGAACTGGCATAAAACAGCAAAACGGAACCGTTTTAAAAAAGGCCCCGTCGCTTCCAGGGCCTACTGAGACTTCCACTGCATGACAGCTTCGCGTGGTGGCATTATGCGTCAGCACTTCGGGTTAGCCTCTGAGCGCACTGACTGGGCAAACGGGCCCCCACAACTATCGCCGCATTGATAGGGGCCCAGCGAAATCAAGACCCGCCTGGCAGCCTGTACTCAGCAACAGGGGGCCCAACAATCCACCATCTAGGGACTGAAGCCTGGGGCTGTCAACAGTGGCTGTCATGACTGGTCGCGACCAGTCCGATAAGTGCGAAGACTGATGCAGAGCTTGCCGCCAGAGTGAAAGCACCAGACGTCAGCGCTCACTGTAGAGAAGCATAACCAGAAGCAGAGCAAACAGCAGGAATATGAACTGTGGGAGGTCCGCGCGACCTGGGGAAACCCGCTAGAATCATCGTAGTCGATATCACCATCACCATCGCCAACCATAACAATAGAACCACTGGCATCAGCAACATCATGATCATCATATTCAGCACCATCATCATCAACAACATCATCATCATCCTCATCATCAATGTTATCCACATCATCAAATAGGGAATCGAGCTCTATACACCGACGTTTTTTTCTGGCTCTGCATTGAAATTTGCACTGGAGAGCGGATCCTGGTGTATACGGGACCCTGGTGTATACATGTTTCGTTGTTTCCCCGGGACAGCGGGGGAAAAAGTATACACCACACCACCCCAGCGTCGTCCCCGACCCTCAAAAAGTCTGGGGATTTAGAAACAGCCCGCCACTGGCAATGTATATGTCTCAGTTCCCGATCAATATCATCCGCAGCAGCATCATCATCACCGCCATCAACACCATCACCAGCATCATCAGCATCACCATCAGCATCACCATCCGTCTCCTCCTGCCCATCATCCTCCTACTCCTCCGAATCCTCCTCCCCCTTCGTCCCCCGCCATCTCCTCATCGTCTGCCTTCTCCTCCTCCTCATCTTCCTCCTCCTCCTCCGCCTCGTCCTCCTCATCCTCCTCATCCTCCACCCCTTTTCCTTTAAAATAACTCCTCCCTGCCGCACCCCGAGGCCAGTCGGAAGGGCGATTCTGGCGTTTCGCCTGAAACACTCTCATCCTTTTATGATCCATTGGCAACAGCTTCACGGATGGAGGGCGTGCCGTTTTCAAAATGTGGCTCTCGCCTTAGGGCCGCGCGCAGTCGTCTCAAAACGTTGCAAGAGCTTCACGGATGGAGGGCGCGTGGTGTTCAAACTGTGACCCTCGCCTTAGCGCAGCGCGCAGTCGCCTCAAACAGTTGCAAGAGCATCGCGGGTGGAGAGCCAGTGGTGTTCAAAATGTGGATCTCGCCTCAGTGCCGCGCACAGCGGTCTCAAAAATTGCAAGAGCAGCCCTTTTTCAAAATGTAGCTCTCCTTAGCGCCGCGCACATTCGTGTTCAAGTGTTGCCAGCGTTTCACGGGTTCCCTTGGCTAACGTACAAGAAACGGCGGTGTGGACCGAGTCATGATTGCCAGGGTGCAACAGCTAGGTTGACTCGCGGTGCTAAAGCCCAAGTAATGGCATGCTGGTGCGAATCGGGATCGCCGAGACTCAACACGCAATTAAATTCGTGGCGTTGGAGTTCCGAGAATGGTGTGTTGACACGCTTCGGGATCTTCCAACGGTTGCCTCCCAACGGGGCACTTTCCTGAGTGGAAGTGAGCCCTTGCAGGGGGGCCTGTAAAGAGTGAACTTGGAGGGAGGGCGTACTCCAGCATCGTTGGTGGGCGTTGGGTTTACACTGGTCCTCCTGCTCCTCCTCCTCATCCTCATCCTCCTCCTACTCCGCACCCTCCTCCTCGTCCTCCTCCTCCTCCTCCTCGTCCCCCTCCCGCTCCTCCCCCGTCGACACCTGCCCCCCTCCCCATCATCATCATCAGCATCATCTGCTTGTAACTATGAATGTTCATTGTATGATCAGTGTTCCTCCTCCTCATCCTCCTCTTCCGCATCTTCCTCCTCCTCCTAATCCTCTCCCTCCTCCTCCTCAGCCTCATCGTCCTCCTCCTCCGTCCTCTCCTCATCCCCCTCCTCCTTCTCCTCCGCCTCCGCCTCCTCCTCCTCCTCGTCCTCCTCCTCCTTTCTCATCCGCCCCTTCCTCCTCAACCTCCTCCTCGTCGTCCTCCTCCTCCCGCTCCTCCTCCTCCCTCCTCCTCCTCCTCCTCCTCCTCCTCCTGCTCCGTATGCTTCTCCTCCTGCGCCTCCTACTCCTCCTCCTCCTCCTCCTCCTCCTCCTCCTCCTCCTCCTCCTCCTCCTCCTCCTCCTCCTCCTCCCCCTCCTCCGCCTCTTTGCCCTCCTCCTCATTCTCCTCCGCCTCTATCGCATCATCCTCGTCTTCCTCCACCTCCGAATAATCACCAGAATCCGCATCATTATCAGCGTCATCGTCATCAGCATCACCACCACCACCACCACCACCACCATCATCATCATCAGCATCATCATCATCATCATCATCATCATCATCATCACCATCATCAGAATCAGCATCAGCAGCATCATCATCATACTCAGCATCAGCATCATCGTTAAAATGAGCATCAGCATCAGCATCATCAGCATCAGCATCAGCATCATCATCATCAACAGCATCATCAGCATCATCGGCCGCATTATCGTCATCAACATCAGCAACAGCATCATCATCATCAGCATCGGCATCATCATCAGCGACATCAGTATCGTCATCATCATCAACAGCATCATCAGCATCATCATCATCAGCATCACCGCGGTTGTCAGCATCAGCATCACCAGCAGCATCATCATAATCAGCATCCTCATCCTCATGGTTAACATCAGCATCGTCGTCATAACCATCACCATTACCAACATCATATATATATATATATCACCATCAGCGTCAGCATCAGCATCACCAGCAGCATCAGCAGCAGCCTCAGCATCAGCATCATCATCATCAGCGGCATCAGCAGCATCAGCAACAACGTCATCATAAGCAGCAGCATCAGCATTAGCATCATCAGCAGCAGTATCATCAGCATCAGCATCAGCAACAGCATCATCAGAAGCAGCAGCAGCAGCAGCATCGTCATTATCATCAGCATCAGCATCATCAGCATCACCATCACCATCAGCATCATCATCAGCATCACCGTCATCATCATCATCATCAGCATCATCATCATCATCATCGTCATCATCATCATCATCAGCAGCATCACCACCATCGTCATCAGCATCATTACCACCACCATCATCATCATCATCATCATCATCATCATCATCATCAGCAGCATCATCATCATCATCATCATCATCAGCATCGTCGTCATCATGATCATCATCCTGCTCCTACTCCTATTCCTATGGGTACTCGTACTCCTTACCCTGATCCTCTTCCTAGTGCTCATGCCCTCACAAGAGCTCAGCCGTTCCCGCAACGAGCTCGGGGGAGTGCTCAGGGCACTCGACCCATGTCGCACAAGCTCCACGGAGTCCAACGAGGCCTCTTGACGCCTCCGAGAACTGCCAAGTGATCCCGCCAGCGGCGCTCCGACTCGTAGCCTTCGGCGGCCAGCCTGGAGGCTTCTCGTGGCTCCAACAAGGCAGCGCTTCACGATCAACGGCCACGGCGCGAGGTCAGCCCTGCACTGCGCTGCAGCCGTGGCTGCGACCAAGACAGCGAGGCCAGGCAGCCCAGGCAACTTGCTGGCAAAACCTTGGGCCGACGCCCGGCGTGTCCTGACCATAAGGCCTCATACATGCGCAGGGGGGCTAGAAAACAGGCTAGAAAGAGACGCGATTCCACGCAATTGCTCGGAGGTTTCCTATTGTTCTGCCCGTATTGTCATCTCCAATCCTCACTCCACTCGATGGACTCTGCGTCCTGGACCAGGTCCTGCAGCGCCTTCAGAGGGGGGATCGTCCGGGTCGTCGTGACGTAGCCGCTGCCACCTGGGGCGGTCCAGAATGGCAAAGGTCTGCGCCACGCGAAGAAGACACTCCACTTCCCGCTTTCCGCTGCTGTAGGAGAACCACACTAAGGGAACCACCACACAAACGGAAAGGCCCAGTCTTCCTCCTCTTCCTCCTCCTCCTCGTCCTACTCCTCCTTCTCCTCCTCCTCCTCCTCCACCTCCTTCTCCTCGTCATCCTCCTCATCCTCCTCTTTTCTTCTTCCTCCTCCTCATCATCAGCAGCATCATAATAATCAGCATCATCCTCATCAGCATCATCATCATCATCATCCTCATCATCATCATCATCATCATCATCATCATCACCATCATCATCATCATCATCATCATCATCATCATCATCATCATCATCATCATCATCATCATCATCCTCATCATCATCATCAGCATCAGCATCAGCATCACCATCATCAGCATCATCAGCAGCAGCATCATCAGCAGCAGCATCATCATGATCAGCATCAACAGCAGCATCAGCAATACCATCATGATGGCCACCATCATCATCCTCATCAGCATCATCATCATCAGCATCACCATCAGCATCAGCAGCCGCATCAGCATCAGCAGCATCAGCATCATCAGCATCAGCATTCATCGATTGGAATAAACATCATCGGCATGAGCACCATCATCATCGTCACCAGCATCAGCATGATCATCAGCATCATCAGCATAATCACCATCAGCATCAGCATCAGCATCCAGACCGCCACCATCATCATCATCATCATCATCATCATCATCATCATCATCATCATCATCATCATCATCATCATCATCACCATCATCATCATCATCATCATCATCAGCATCATCATCAGCAGCAGCAGCATTATCATCGTCATCATCAGCATCGACATCAGCATCCTCAGCAGCAGCAGCATCAGCATCACCATCAGCATCAGCAGCATCAGCAGCATCTCGTCATCATCATCAGCATCATCAGCATCATCGTCAGCATCGTCAGCATCATCATCATCAGCATCAGCATCATCAGCATCATCATCGTCATCATCAGCATGAGCAAGATCATAAGCATCATTTTTAGCAGCAGTATCGTCATCAGCAGCAGCACTATCAACATCACCAGTAGCATGATCAACATCATCAGCATCATCAGCATCAGCATCATCACCATCATCGGCATCATCAGTAGCATAACCATCAGCATCAGCATCAGCAGCACCATCATCGTCCTCGTCATCCTCATCTGCTTCATCAGCCTCAACATCGTCATCTCCAGCCTCAACAGAATCATCGTCAGCTGCAGCATCATCATCACCACCATCAGCATAAGCATCATCACAAACAACATGATCAACATCAGCATATCCATCATCATCCTCATCATCATTCTCCTCCTCATCATCATCAGCATCATCACATCATTAGCAGCAGCAACATCATCATCATCATCATCGTCGTCGTCGCCGCCACCGTCAGAAAAAACTGCAGCAGCATCACAAGATACCTGTCCTATGAACCTTTACTCGTGCTTACCCCCTTCCCCTCAGCACTCCAGATCCTTCGGTTCTTGGGGTTGCGTTTCCTCCTCCTCCTCCTCCTCCTCCTCCGCCTCCTCGTCATCCTCCTCGTCCTACTCCTCCAACTCCGCCTCCTCCGCCCCCTCCTCCTCATCGTCATCGCCATCATCATCATCATCATCATCATCATCATCATCATCATCATCATCATCATCATCAGCATCAGCATCAGCATCATCAGCATCAGCATCATAATCATCATCATCATCATCATCATCATCATCATCATCATCATCATCATCATCATCGTCATGATCATCAGCATCATCATCATCGTTATCATCATCAGCATCAGCATCAACATAATCATCGTCAGCATATCATCAGCATTCTCAAAATCATCATCAGCATCATCATCCTCATTCTCATCCTCATCCTAATCCTCATCCTCGTCCTCATCCTCAACCTCCTCATCCTCCCCCTCCTCCACCTCCTCCACCTCCTCATCATCCTCCTCCTTCCCCTCCCTCCCTCCCTCCCTCTCCCTCCCCCCCTCACTCTTCCTCATCCTCCTTGTCCGCCTCGTCACAATCATCGCCACAGTCAGCATCCTCAGCATCATCTTCAGCATCAGCATTATCAGCAACAACAACATCATCAGCATCATCAGCAGCATCGCCATCATCAGCATCATTATTATCAGCATCATCAAGATCAGCAGCATCATCATCAGCATAGCCAGTATCATGATTAGCAGCATCCGTTGTATCATCCTCGTACCCCTCCTCATCACCATCCTCAGCATCCACCACCCCACCTTCGGCCTCCTACTCCTCATCCGCATCACCATCCTCATCATCATCCTCAGCATCATCAGTATCAGCATCAGCATCAGCATCAGCATCAGCATCATCATCATCATCATCATCATCATCATCATCATCATCATCATCATCGTCATCGTCATCGTCATCGTCATCGTCATCGTCATCGTCATCGTCATCGTCGTCATCATCATCAGCATCATCATTCGCATCAGCATCGCCATGCAGGCTTGGGCTCACCAGTGGGAGATACACGAAGCTTTTCAGATCTACTACGACCGCGAACACACTTGGCAAGGTTCACCCCACACACAGCTTGATTTCTGCTAAGGCTCTCGATCTAGATGTATTCCCAGTTTGTGGGAGCTACATCACCAAACGTATGGTCAACCTTGCCAAACCATGCATGCCGAAAGGAGGCCGACCTACTACGAGAGGGATACAGAATCTCAAGCGAGTGCCTTTAGGTATTCATCCGACCATGCCACTCGGTGACGAATCTACGAAGTCAAGGCGTAAGACGACCCTTGCGCCCAGTTTCACGGACACCGCCACGTCACTAAAGAGTACGACGCGGAGTCCTACGAGCACCGGCCCAGCACCCTTGGCCGCTGCCAAGGACTAGCATACGGGCACCGATGCAGCATCGTCCTCTGCTGCACGGAGCACTCCGACGAAACCATCTGACGCTACGCGTCTTTTGTGCGATTCGTCAGGGGACACTGGCTGAATGCATGTGCGTGTGACTCAGTCCGAAGCGACACGTGGTGATTGCTTCACCTCACTGGCCATGAGTGTTGGTCGAGGAGCCGCACACGAATGTGATGTGTTACAACTTCAAACAAACACCTCTGCACCCCCTGGGTGGAAACAAAACACCCTCATCATCATCAGCAGTATCACCATCAGCATCATCAACATCATAATCATCATCATCAGCATCATCACCATCATCCTGCGCAACAACATCATATTCCCCCTCCTGCTCCTCATCAACTTCCTCCTCATTCTCCTCATCATCCTCATCATCCAGTTGATTCCAGTTGGCTCCTCGACAAATGCATCCTCGACCAATACTGACCCGCAAAAACCGAAATGGGAGCTGCCCTGGGCGTGCATGTCGGGCGGGAGGTCAAGCTGGACAGGTGCGCACCGACAGGTGAGGCATGCCGAAAAACAACCCATCCATCGGCGGCAGAGCGGCCGTGCAGACGGCACGGCCGCCATCCAATCCCAGTGCCCAGCAAAACGACCACGCCCCCCGACCAGGCCGCCTTTTTCGTCACGCGCAGAGACCAGAAAGCTGGGCGGCCACGGCACGTGCCAGGGCCGCCGCTCCAGCCGCGCGACGAGGGTTGTTCCCTGCCTGGACCGACGAACCACATTGACCAACATGAGAGATGGCTGACAGGAGGTGACGACCAGGCGCCACGGTCACGAGCTGGGCAGGAACGCCAGCCTTGGCCAAAAGACAACTCCAGGGGGGCAGAGCAGCCAAACTTTTGGAGTCTGGGTCGATGCCCGTGCTTCAGCACAAGAAGGGCGCGCACCCGAGACTTATCTGGAGGCCCCCGCGGGCACGGCTTGGACAAGAAAGCTGAGCGCAAGCTCACGAAGGCCCCGCCGCAGGTGCACAGACCTGCCTTGCCCCCGCCTAACCACGCGCGGCGGGCGCGGGCGGCCTGTCTGCCAACTCGAGAGGGGGCTCGGCATGGGAACAAGGAGGCTCGGGATCGGGATGAGCCCCCCCCCCCCCCCCGCGCACAGACACTTATAATATCTGCCGGACACATCGAAGGCATGCCCCGTGAGATTAAACACCAGGTCGACAGCGGGCACGTTCTTCTTGCGGCGCGGGGCCTCACACAAGCAACGTCGTGCAACATTAAACGACTGAGGCTGTCCATCGTCTCATTTACGAACCAAGCACTCTGCCGCACCTGCTGGACCACGCGGCCCCCACGGGCCCCAAGCTGGGGTCGCAAGGGTGCCCAGACGCGCCCCAAACTCAGCTAGCTCGTCGGCGCGTCTATTCCCGCGCCAGGTCCAGGGTTCAGTTCCTTCGCAGCAGGCCCGACCGCGAGGGATGTGAGGCTGAATTTCGACTCGACCAATCAGGCCCCAGCCAAGGCCGATTCCCCTCCAGAAGAAAAAGATTTCAACCCAGAGCTCTGAAAAGGGCTATCGTATCGGCGTCCTGCTGGGGCCTCTGCTTCCGAACGTCGATGACCACATTGCAGTCCGAACAGATGATCAGCTCTTATGGCCCCGCAAGCCGAAGACACCCCTGGAGGCGCCCACTGGCCCGGCAATGGCGGGGGGGGGGCCGCTGTCCGCGCCGTCGATCGCGACTGAACTCGAAGTGTAAGTCAAAGACCAATCAGACACGGGGACCGCCGCCCAACCCGCCCTGGGAAACTGGGGGAAGATGGGATCCAGGCCAGATCCGCCGATGCAAACCTTTTTCCCGAAAGCCCCACATATCCTGCGCCCTCCAGGGCGCCGGCCATTCCCTCACCTCGCTGGGCACGGGCGCCCTCGCGCCCAGGAGGTCGCCCTGGCTCTCCAACGAGGCGATGCCGAGGCAGAGGAGCCGTCGAACTGGCTCGTGCACGGGGCAGCGGTGAAAACGTCGGCCCAGCGCGCCTCGTTCTTCGAAGCCCGCA